AATACATTTTGGGGCATGTAATCTGTAATCTGTAATGGAATACATTTTAAAAGTAACCTTCCCAACACGACTAATAATTGTAAAAAGCCACAACAAACCTATAACTTGAATGTGCTGCAAGATTTCCGATGCCCAGAGCAGCTTTGGTTTAGGCTGCCTGTCTGGTATGTGTTGCTAATGCGTCCTTTCCACCCCTTTCAGTTTAAATATGGCTCAGCATAAATATTACATGAACTGTGTTACAAAAGCAACAAAATGCAGAGAGAGGTGGTGATCAAAAATGAATAAAACGAGCAGATAACCTTTTCTCTTTTCTTTCTTTTTCCCTGTTTCTCAATCTGCCACTTTTTCCTTTTCTCTCTCTGTCTCCCTTGTTCTTTGCAAAATGAATAAAAACAGCCGATAACCTTTCCTCATTCCCTTCCCCTTCCCCTTTAGCCCTTGGCTTGCTTTGTCTTCTATCTAAATTTATTCAAATGTATCACTCACCAAAATACCATATAAAGCACTGCCGTTATTATCCCTCTGAACGGCTTCCAAAATAAATTCAGAACAAAGTCTGTTTTGTCGTCGTTGCTTTTCTCGCTGTCGTTTCGTTGTGCTGCTTGTATGTTACGCTCTAATTTGGGGTGTGCGAGTCGTCTGGATGCAAAGTCAAGGAAAATGTTTGTGATGATAAATACCTTATATTGTAAGAATGGATGTTACGTAACTTTGTGCGGATTTAAACTCACCCTGATTTATTTATTTATTTATTTCCTTCCTCCTCTCTCTCGCTCTCATCTGTCCTTTATTATTTCCTTAGTAATCTTCTGTCCAACCCATATGTGTGTGATTGTCACTTGGCCTGGCTGGGTCAATGGCTAAAGAAGACGAGGGTGGTGAGTGGAAATCCCCGCTGTCAGAAGCCAGCCTTCCTGAAGGAGATTCCTATCCAGGATGTGGCTACCCCAGACTTTACATGCGATGGTGAGACTTTCTATTTTCCATTCTTTGCCAATAAGCCAAGTATTTGTTTTTGTTTTAGTTAAGTAGAATTAAAACCACAGTTCTTGATGTTTGGTCTAGTCGGCCACACAGGATGTTGCAACTGATACACCGAACTGTGGAAAACAAAAAGGTCATAGCCTGACCTGAAATAAATGACATGTGTCAGTCAGCGGCTGTGTGTCCTGTGCAGATAAAAGGATGAGTGAAGCAACTGAAAGGTGAACTGAATGTGTCCTTGAATCGTACTAATAATAACTGAGGGGCTTCCTGACTTTCAAAACCCTGCATAGGAAAATTGTTTATTCAGTAATGATGTCAAATATGTATTTGGGCAAAGAAAATAACAATAAAACACTTGTGTGTTGTGTAATGAGTCGTCCAATTTGTAGCGCTGTTCAAATCTTAACTTTAAATTTAATCCACTAAAAACAAAAAGTGAGAACACAGATGATTAACATATACGTGCGCTTAACCCTTTAAAGCCGGTCGGAGCGGGCACGCTCTGTTTTGTGTAACTATTTTTAAATCCCGGTAGCTCTGCAACCACGTGAGCTAGTGCAATAATTTTTTTTTGCATATGAAACCGGAGGAGTTGTACTTACATCTTATGCCATCAGCTTGTCCTCGGTCACAGTTTCCTTCCACATAAAGCTTTGCAAAAGCTGCATAAAAAGCACTTGCAGCAACAAAAACATAATATTCCAGAAACACGCTTTGCCGATCTGATCAGCTGTTTGTAACACTTCCTATGTTGGAATAGACATCAGCGCGAACTTTTGCATGTCCGCCATGACCTGCCCAAAACCGGAAGTGACGTCATTTTCGCGGAAATGTCGTTTTTTTTTTTACCATCAGAGCCTCATGAGCCTATACTGGTGTTTTTAAAAGTTATCTTTGACTTTATGACTTTCTGTGTGGTTTCTGGGATGCTTAGGACTCATATTGCACTGCTGGAAATAGTTTATTTTGATGCA